GTTCTTTAGCATATACATCTGCTGCTTTGACTTGCAAAACTGCAAGATAGTGCTTTTCATTCAAAGAATTTAATTGTGTATGAAGCTGCAAGGTTTTTATGGTACTTAGATTGTGCTTTATTTTAAAGGTCATATTTAGAGCGTTCTACAATTAAGTTTCAAAAAAATTAGACACTATAATGTGTTTTAAGCTGCTGCTATGATAAAGAATTACAATTCCTGGGTTATAAACTGCTCCTAAAAGTGAAATCTGAGTGCAGTATAGCTTGGTGTTTTGCAGTGCACTTAAGCGATGAATTCACAAGATGCTGGGAACAGAAGGCAATTTCCAAGGTGCTTCCAAGACTGGAGAAATATATTTAGCTTTTTATACTCAATGAGTTTTCAAATAACCTGTACTGCCAATCTCTCAGTACATCTGAATCAGTTGGAAGAATGAATTTTGAGGATAAAATACATTTTAAAGTGATTGGACCTCTAAGTTTTTACTGTATTACTGCAGTTGTTCTGTTAGCTCTTAACATGGAGCTACATGTCCATGCTCCCAATTAATAAACACTCTAATGCCAAAGGAAGAGCAGGAATCTCCAAGTAGGAGCTGGGAGAAATATAGGTCATAGTGTCCTGAAGTTGTTTTTAAATTGGAATTGCACATTCAATGATTGCAAAAATAACCTATATATCTCAAAATAATTTTCTCTAGAAATTTTCCTCCAGTCTTTAATTGCTGTTGGAAAGGGAAGAACTAGGCTGCACTTTGATCTGTAGTTAATAAACTTGATCTTGGTTTACACTTCCTTCAGTTATGGAAGATCAAAGGACAGTTAAAGCTGAGACCTTGGATTCTGCATGGGTAATGTGATGTTATTTTGTGTTTGGTGTTGCAGGCAGTGCTGTTTCCTCAGGGCGATAAGCTGGGAAGAGGTGGCTGCAGTTGAGCCCTTGTGATAACCACTGTGTTCATGTTATGGATGCCCAAACAGAACATAATGTGTTCATACCTTATGAATTCTCTTATCCCGGTTAGTTGGCAAAGATCAAACAAACAACAACAAAAAACCCAGCAGAAAACCAACTTACATGTTGCTTAATGTTTTATTTTTATAAAATCTCTCTACAGCTATTGTAAAATCAACAGACAATCTATAGTAATTTTAGTAAAAAAATTGTGCATCCTTTTCCTAGAAAAAATTAAAAAAAAATCATGACACAACATGGCCCATGCTGACATGAATTAATTTACATATAGTACTAGACATGGCATCATTCATGAGGAACACGTGTTCCTTCTAATTAATTCTTGAATGTTGCACAGACTCTGACTTGCCCAGGCAAGAACAGATTGAGAGTTATTGTACATCTGTACAGTAAGAGATCAGAATATCATATTCATTCTAGTTTTCTACCTTTCTGCATAGATGCATTTTACAAGTATTGTAATTGCAATATTACTGTAGACTTTTTAACTGCATGATTAAAATAGGATTTTAATCAGCAAACTTTATTCCACAGACATTTTGCTGGGTAACCATATGCAACATAACCACGTTTTGTTGCATGCCTGTATGAGACATGGAATTAGTAAGTGAAGGATTCTATAAGCAACAATAAGGACATGGGGGAATCAATGAATGCAAAAATTAGAGTTCCTAGATTATACCTATCTATCTATATCTATCTTCACCATTCTCTAGTTTTTAATTCAGTATATGGACTCCATCATCAATTATTTCGGCTCTGCACATCCATAGTTTGGGATTTTTTTTTAGCATCTGTTTATATTTTAATGTTTCCTGCATATATCACTTTGTCTGGTATGATGTGATAAAAAACAAGTTGGTTGAAGATGGTGCTATACTACATTATTAGAGGAGAAGATTGCAAATACAATTTTACCACCTGTTCATATCTGGTTTTTCCTTTTCTTCTTTGATTTCCTTTATTGTTGTACTTTGATAAGAATTGCTTGCTTTCTTTCCTGAAAGCTGCAGAAGCTGATCTTGTTGGACTGTAAGCAGAGTACTGGGAGAATCTAAAAACATCAGTGTTGTAGCATTTGCTGGTTTTATATTGTGGCAGCAAAACGTGGTTTGTGTGGTGGGCTCAGCAACCCCAAAGTAGGAAAGGTTTGGCTCTGAGACCCCCTGGGAATCCTGGGCACTGCAGGCACAAACCAGGAGGCCAAGATCAAACCCTTGGCAAATATTCCACCGCAGATGCTGAAAGAGCAGAAAGGCTTCTCTTGGTGCCACCGCTGAGCTGGCAGAGGGGAGTGACACCAGTACGTGCAGGAAGCAGCATTTGGTTTGGCCTCCTGTGGGGCTAATGACCCTGTGTCTTATCTGTCCATGAACATAAAAACATTTTGAGAAAAGTCAAAATTTTCCCATTTTTCTTTGTCTCATGAGGCAAAGTGGAGCAGCTGTTACAAGGACATGGAGAAATGTGGACCCTCTGGCTGAGAATAAAAGACTGGAACTTTGGGTTTTGCCAGTTCCAGCTTAATGAGTGGTTTTTAAGCAGAATTGTTCTGGGGAAGGGCTGATAATATAAAAATATATCTGGTAGGTTGGTTTGTTTTTGCTGTAAATTTTTAGTAGGAAAAAAAGGAAAAAGAAATGTTAACACTGTAGGGCTGCTGGGAATAAAATTTTCTGTCTCTTGACTATCTTTGCAATTTGAACAAATACTCTCTTCTGAATGTCTGGTACTCCTAATTATTGCTGTAGTTAATTTGTCTTTTTCATATTATTTTATTATTTTGTCTGATACAGTGCATTCTTGTATTTGAAAATAGTGATGTGTAGCTTTTTATCATTGACTTTTTAATGACATTTTTTGCAGATTTACCTGGTGATTAGTGCCAAGAAAAAGAATTTTTCCCAGCTATTTTCCTTTCCACTACTACCTAGTTGAGTGGTATCTCTCCTCTCTGGGTACTTTATGAGCTCAGGAGATCTTCACTGTTGTCTCAGAAGGTCTGGAAGGCAAAGATTAAATTTCACCAAGGTCTAATCAGATTTTCATAAAGTTCAGCCAGAAAATGAGGTTGCTTCTGTCTCCATTTTTGACTGGTTTGCTCTTTATTTTTTCTAAATTACATCTCTGACTTCCCTGCTCTGGTGGTCAGACCCTGGAGTCACAACATTGCCTCCTCAAGAGAGAGCAAAGCTGCAGAGAGGGCTGCTGAGGAGCTCAGTGCACTGGCAGAGTTCCTGCTCCTGCTCTGGTATTTTTGTGGCACCTTTCCACATCTGAACCGGGAGAGCAGGGAGTGTGAATCCTTGACTGCTGTTGTTGGTTTCCCTGGTATAACCCTGGCAATGCCCTGTAAGATCTGAGGAAAAGCGGTGTCCCAGCAGAAGGGGGGCAGCAGACCCGTGTGATGTTCTCTCTCTGAGCACAGGCAGGCTCAGCACTGCTGGGGGACATTCTGCACCCTGCAATGGAGCTTCTCTGGGCTCAGCTCTGTGCTCTGGGACAGTTTGGGCTGAGAGTCCAAAGTGCAAGGCTTCACAGCACCGGGCAGAAGCTGCTGCTCTCCAGCTGGCACTCACCTGACTGTGTAGGGAACTAATTTGTAGATTGCCCACTAGAAATGCTTTATATTTACAGTTTTCTTCAGTCCTACTCTTTGGAACTGAGATAACAGATAAGAAGTGTGAGGTGCTGCTTTTCTGGTATCCATGGCACAACTCCTACCTCCTTCAATAGAGCTAACTAATCCTCTCTCTTCCCTGTCCTCCTATTTTTCCACTTGTTTTTCTTGGGTTTCTCCCCTGCTTTCTGCTGAAGGATTTTTCCAATGCAGGCAGAAAAGGGGTGGTGGTGTGTATTTTCTCAGGTTATTTATTATACTGTGATGAATAAAATGGTCATGGGAGCCAAGTGTAAAATAAATTAAATTACACTTATGACCAGCTGTTTAGCTACATGGGATTTTGGGAGGACAGATAGAAGGGAAATGCAACAGGAGCAGAGGGTGGAGGTGAGAGAAGAAACCAACAATTTTTTTCAAAGACTATTCTTGCCCTGCCGATTTACAGAAAAGCAAATCAATAGAATAAATTTGTCACTAAGTCTGCAAATGTCCTTAAAGGCATATCTAACCATGAGGAGGAAGAATTTTAAGATATTTCTTGTAATGCTGAGGCCAAAAGTCCACCTGTATGCTATGTGCTAGTGCCCAGTACAGAGTTATTGGCCCCCTTGATGTATGAGGGCCAGATTTTCTTTACACATTTTACCCATTGAAACCCAAGAATCATTAGCTTTTTTGGGATGAATTGTCACATCTGTGCACTTGGGTGACAAGTGTGTCACCCAGCAGGCTGCTTGTGCTAGCTGTCCTGTGCAGGAGAGCTATCTGATGCCCTACAGCAGGCAGGCAGCACTGCAGGGGCATGGCTGCTGGGATGTGAGATCCTGTGTGCTCCTAAAATCCCTCCTGCTTTCACTGAGTGCATCCCTGGGAACAGCTTGCATGGATAACTGACCTGCATCTTTGTGTTTGTTTCCATCCTCTCTCTTCAAACACTGTAGAATTAAAATTATGAGCAAACCCGCCTGGCAAACTTGGCAGATTCTCACTTTATTCATGAAGGCAGATCTAATGTTCCCTGACAAATTGTTCCAGAGAAACTGTCTTGTAAAATACAGGATCTGCCAGTTCCTTCATACCAAACCATATTTCTATCAGGACACAGTGTTAATGGTTCACTGGAAAGTACAGTGCTTGGTGCAGAGTGAATCTGAAATCATTTAGCATACTTGATTGTTAACTGAGCTAACTATCCTGTGAGTGCATCGGCTGCCATCTGTCCATTTACTTGACAGCCTTGGAGGGGGGATAATCTTGAGAGCTGGCACCGGTCCAGTTTGCCACAGGTCTGCTTTCTAGTGTTTTTGTAGCAGATGTTGTGCCACATGCCCAAAGCTGCTGCCTGTAAGCTGCTGTGTGCTCAAATTTTTAATTTTGGTGGGGTGTCTGACTGTCTTTGACACAAGGTTTGAATTTATCTTAGCAGCTTCTTATGGAGTGCCTTTGTTATAAATGATAATCTGATGGAAGAGACAGAGCCAAAACCTTGAGGCCTCTGTCGCAGGATTTCTGATGGGTCCAGTGGACACTGGGTTGGACCCTGACTTGCCAGCTGCTAGTGAATTTTTTATCCTTTTAATGGTGTGTATTTGGAAGCATGGCACTTATAAAACATTTAGTATGGAATTATGGAACCATCAAGTTTGCACTGTGCTTTTAAGGAATTCAATAATCCTTGCTTATCTAAGATGTTCCAAAACTGTTTATGTACATAGATCCGTGCCTGTTATGCACAGGGAAGCTAGAAGTTACTGAATTTTTCCGCCTGTTATCTTCCATAGATAACATTACTTTGCTGAAAGCAAGTTGATTCTAAATTAATGTAAATCAGCCAAGGTAAGGTGGAGCTTTAGGAACTGCTATGTTTTTCAATTCCATGATTAAAATGCTTTGCTCTTCCTGTGCAGCTTGGTGGTTGTCAGCAGAGTAGCAGGAGGGAATTATCATCTTGCTGCAGCAACCCCTGCTGCTGCTGATAGGGAAGATTTCTTCTTCTCTCATGCCTTGCTTTTCATTAAGAAAAAGCAAAAGGGGAAAAAAGTCAATTAGGTAACGCAACATGATGGATCTCTGTGCATTTTCTACATGTCATCCATTTCAAGAGGTTTGCTATATGAAACTGGAAACTGCTGGGTTATCCACAGCATCTTTCTTCCATCCTGGTCTGTATTTCCACTTGATCACTTTGTTCTGGACTGCCTGGATGAGTTTTTGGAGGATGAAAAATTATATGACTGTGCCTGTTCAGCTCTAAAGCAGCTTCCCATAGATTTGCTTCTGACTTTGTATCTAAATAAAATATAGCACAAGAAATGATCTATTTTATGTGTTAGGCATGGGAAACTTGCCAGTCTCCGTAATTAATTTATCATCTTTCAGAGGAAAACTTGTAACTTGCCTTTTCAGCATGTGGCTTAATTTGCCTTTGTACAGTGTCTCTGCCTCTTTGAGCTTAAAATATTTGGTTCAGAGTCTCTGCTTTTGAAAATAATAAAGGTGTACAAAATAAAAATGTGATTACAATACTCAATCTTCCCAATTAGTTTCTATTGTTCAGTCTGTTAAATGCCATTTGCCTGTCAGGGAAATGCATCTTGTGTGTAGGGAACACTGCTGGAGTGCTGCAGAAGTGATAGGCTTTGAATATCTTGAGTTTTGGGAAAGGCCTTCATAATATCTCTAACTAGAATACTGACTAGGTAGTTAATCATAATCTAGGATCTCAGGCTGAGAAATGCTCCTAGCTCATGCTGTGTGTGCAGACATCTGTTACTCAGCAACAAATGTCACTCTCTTTCCAGATGAGTTATTAGCAAATGTTAAAAAGACAGGTATACAGTAAAAGTTTAATGCCTATGAAATGACCTGTGTGGCTGCAAATGCCTTAGCATATGGAATATAATTCTGAGTAATAAAGAGATGAGCATTCCAGAGTATTTATGATGATTAAAAAAAAAAAAAAAGAAAAATACTGCTGCCATGTAAAAATGAATCAAAGAATTCAATTTAGTTTTCCAACAATGCATGCTTTACAAATGTACATACTATAGTTTATGGAGGCATTTAGCTGTACAAGGCAACAAATGTTTTCTGGGAAATAATATGAGGCAATGTATTTGTCTACAGCTGAAAGTGTGTAGTTGCTTTCCTAAGGATTGGAAGCAATCTTGCTAAAGCAGAACAAGAAACTTTTACAATATCAAAGTGCAAGTAGAGAGTGGACAGAGAAAAACTTCATTTAAGTAAGGTGAAGATATGACATTTATTGATCTTATAAGATGAAATACTTCACTTTTCTGTAACTGCTAGCATAAGAATAGAGCTAGAGCAAGCTCTAGCTATCACAAGTATTTTATTTCCCATACAGTGCATAGTTTAATTTTCATAAAAACAAATACCTGCAGTATTTCTCTAAAATATAGACATTAAATTCTACAGTATTTGCATCAGGACAGCTTCTCCAGCTCTTACCTGTTAAATCCAGAGACAGATGTTGGCAGTTCTGGTGCGCAAACGCTTGTGCCAGTGCTCCAGGACGCAGCACCTCTCTTTGTGCTGGGTGTGCATTGGGATAGACAATGAATGAGACCTGATTAATCATGGTACAAGTAGTTTGGAAGACAGGCACTAAAAACAAAGAACTTGAAAGTTTTTACAAATAAAGCTATGCGGAAGCCTTACTTCTATCCATCCTCCTAATCCTAAAGTCAGGCACTCTCCTGCTCCCTCGTCTTTTCTTCATTGCTTAGCAACACTCATGGGTGAACTTACTTAAAGCAGAGCTTTGTTCCCAGATGTGATTTCAGTAATATCTGCAGGCTTAACAGTTCTGAGATGTGAAAATCAGCCCCCTTCCTCCCCACCACCATTAGCCTACTTCGCTAAATAGTCTTTCTTCTCTCCTGCACCCCAGGCATGTTTCAGTTTTTGTCTCTACTGTTTTGATCTAACCAAGAGAGTTGTGGAAAGAGGGGGGGAGGTTCAAATAAAGCTTTAATTATGGAGGACACACATACAATGTGCACAACAAAGCTGTGTGTTGGGAATAGAATTGAAGAGTCAATGCAGAATGGTCAAGAAAAGCACTGTTATTTCTCTCAACTCAATTTGATTTTTTTTGAAGTTGAGATTGAATAAATGGCATTTTTCACACCAGCATTTATGTGCTGAATTGGTATGACCAACTGCATATTACAATATAGCCTTGAACAATCATTTTAAGTAGGGAGAAGCTACAGTAGCTAATTGCTTCCTACACAGTTTTTCTAATTTTGGCGATAGAGTGACATATCAGCACTTCCTGGAAATGTTCAGTTTGCCAGGCTAATCTGCATCTGTATTTAGTCCTGTTTCTGGAGGATTATCTGGTTAATCCATTCTGTTTCCTCTTGTTTTCCCTGGCTGTGTTTCTGTAGTTCACTACACTTTGAGTTATGGGTGGGTTTTGTGTGTGTTTTCTTCTGCAAGCCAGAAGATGTTAATGCACACCTCTTTGATCTTGGAGAAAACCTAGATCACTCACCAAGGAGACTTGTGTTGAAATGCAAACATTTCCATTGAAGTCTCTCTCAATTTCTGTGCAGAACTCTATATTTATGTGCAAAAGCTGGTGTTAAGTCTTCCAGAGTTCTATTGCTTCAACAGTGCCATAACCACCTTGCTGATATTCCACTGAAAAGCTCCTGTGTTTTGAAATGGAAGACTTCCCAGGCATGGAAAACCTTGGGGCTCTTACCAGGCAGAATGATCGTATGTCAAGTCTTTTATGTTTAGGCCTCTCTCATGGATTTTGAGGTTGACACTCCAGCTGAATTACCAACCTTGTGAAATCAATAATTTTGGAGGGGCTGCTGCCCAAAGGGGATGAAGTGCATGCTCATGTGTTCCCTCAGCTCTAAGACAGCTAATGAAATAAATAAGCCACTTAAAAAAGCGTGTAAACCTCAGTGAAAAATCCTCTAGCATTTTTTTAAGATAGTCACAAAGCAGATTCTGGGAAAAGGTTGCAGAATTTTTCTTTGACTTAGAGAATTGCAATTAATCTGTATTCTGCTTGATTCAATTTGTTTGGACAGAAATCAAATGAAATTCTGAGTTACTGTGCATTCATTCAGTGTCTCATGTCTCAGAGCTTTGCAGTAGGATCCTGTCCTTTCAACAAAAAGATGAGTTAACAAAGGCCTATGTATCCCTACGTGAAGTATTTATAAAATTTGGGGATGCCTGAAAGTGTTTATGACAAGAGTACTTAAGAACTTTGTCATTTTTTACTCTGGCTCCTGTGTGCTCGCTAGTGTGTTCCTGCTGCTGCGCCTTGTTTCTTCAATGAAAGTGTGCTCTATTCCCTTTATAATCTTTCATGGTAGTTGTGTGGGGTTTTTTTTTTAAAGTGTTGGTTGTTATGAGGGAAAGCCAAACAAAAAAAAAAGGAATAGAAAAAGGATTGAGAAGGTGAGTTGATTCTTTAGTCTGAGAAGAGCAAGAAAGCACCTCAGCTCTGTACCATTCTTAACATGTGAAATTGGTAGAAATAGACTTTTTGACTGATGTGTTAGTTTAAATGTGTGCAGAGGAGTTGCTCCAGACTGTGAGGTTCTTCAGGTGTGTTCTCCTGGCTACCACAGGTGGTGGTTCAAACACTGGCCAGGTGTTGTATTTGCAGAGGATGTCTGCTCTGGGGCTACCCTGGCAGTTCCACTCTCTTTCCCTATGTTTGCTTTCATCCCCGAGTTTTTCTGTCAGGGACAGACTATTACTATTATATTATTGTAATATTACTGTTGTAATTTTATGTATTACAGTATTATTGTAATATTGTACTATTGTAATATTACTATTACACTTAGTGCAGTTCTCTGTATTGCATCCTTAAAGCAAGGTGTCCTTCTCTCCCAAACCACCACCACCATCTCCCCATGCCCACCCTCCAAAAAGAAAGGCACAAAAAATCCCCAAAGCTGGAGTGATATAATTTTAAACAGCATAATAAAAGAGTAGGCCCATTTCTTGGTGTAATATGAGATGACTGTGATTGTTACTAGTGCAGAATGCTCACTTCCTCAGAAAATGCTGAAATGTGCATTGTCCTGGCAGGTCTGTGTGCTGGACTTCTTGTGTATTGGGGCATTTTGATGCACTGCAGGACTGAGTTGAGTTTTTCTATCCTTTTCTTTTAGAGTATGCAGTTAGAAGCCAGAGGTGCTAGCCTCTGAATGAAGAAAAATCATGCATTTTTTTTAATGCATTATAATTGTACCGTGTTTCCTGATCAGTGAGTGTGCAGTCAGACAGCAGAATGTTTGAATCTTTCTCTCCTGTTATCCTTTAAGTGAACACTTCCTTTTCAAGAGTTAATTGAAGACTGAAGATCGCACTTGCTATCTGTACTGTCCAAATTTGGTCTAACAGGATAAGAAAAACAGAGTAAAAGTAAAAAAGAGTGTGGTTCTCACAGTCTTTTGGTAGAAGTGCTTTTCAAAGGGAGATGTTAAAGTCTTTGGATTACAGTGTCCTCTAATCTACCTAAACTGCTGTAGGAGTTACAACGTTTGTATATGAAACCTCATAAAGCCAAAAGGACCTGTTAATTGCTTGGGGGCTGTCACAGCTTTGAAAGTGAAAATCACAATTACTGTTAATGGTTTTTAAATTTTTTTTCATTAGGTACTGATCTAACTTTTAGCCAGAATACTTTAGGAATTGCACAGCTAGGCTGATGTGAATGAAGAGTAGAACATTTTAACAAATCTGATCTACCCAGCAATCAGCTGTTACTTGCTTGAAAGCAGATGAAGGGGTTGGGGTGTTGCTGGAGCAGCCCTCCCTTGTCACAGCCCAGTGAAACACCAGGCGTTCACCAGCTGCCTTGCACCGTTAGGTAGGATCAGGCACAGCGGTGGTGGTGAGGCTGAAGAGAAAACAATTAAGTTATGCTTTTCATGTTCAAAGCACTTTAAAGACAGTATCAAATTAATCTGTACCACAGCCTGATTAATTATTCCAAGTGGTTTTCCAGCTTGGTTGCTGTCGTCATCAGCACTTTCCAGGTGATGGGATACTTTGCCTTTACTCTTTAAGTTCCTGCTGCACTTTGTCAAAATCCTGCTGACTTTGCCATTCTGGCAGAAACCCTGAAAAACACCTCTTTTTTTATTTGTAATAAAATTAAGTACTTGCCTTTGAGCATGTGTAAAAAAAGGTGTGGAAAACCAGGACTGGAAAAGTAAGTGAGGAAACTTGAGTACTGTTGTCTGAGTGAAACTTTGAGGATTGCAGTAGAGCATCCCTTGTATCTCTTTTTTTCTTTGTACTAAGGACCTGGATTAAGGTGATGATAATTTTAAACCAAGATTATTCAACTTTTTGGGGAAGCATTCTAAACACCTGGGCTGTAGACTATGGTTGTCATACCAGGTGTTTCCAAAATATGTGTGTGTGTGTGTCCCATCATCTTATCCCTGCTCCCCTGTTTTTGTTTGGTTTTGGGTTTTTTGTTTGGTGAAAAAATATTCTGTGAATTTGCAAATTGGATTGAAAAGGGAAAGACATGGGCTTGTTTTGTTTGGTTTATTTTCTTTTCCAGATGCATAATGCCTTCTCTGGAGGAACATATTGCTGCAAGTGGGGCTGTCGTGTTGTTAACTTTCCAACTCTCTGATCCTCGTGATTTCATTATGTTTCATATCTTGCCTTATATCTGCTGTTGGACTTTATGGAGAAAGTGTGTAATGTTTGTGTGCAGCTGAGGACAGAGGCTGGACTTGGACTGAGCACAGACTTAAAGGCTGTTCATTTATAAACAACGTGCAGTAATTGCAAGGGGAGATGTCACCTCGCTTTTGTGGGCAGGTGTGGGTAAAGGCAGGTGAGGACACTGATCTTTGCTGTGTTTCACAACTGAAGAACCAGCTAGCATGACGTGTGAAATACATCAATAAGTTGCTTCTGTGATTCACTGCAGTGAAAACTTTTACATTCTTTTTTAATGGAGCTTCTCTTTTAATGGAAGCACCCCTGCTTAGGTGACTGTGTCACATCCAGTGGGAAGGAGCTCGCTTTGGTGCTGGGAGCTGGGACAGCCCTCCTGTGGCTCTTTCGGTGTGTGCACCTTCCTGGGAATGGGCTGGATCCTGTCCTGGGCCAGAATCCTGCTCAGACTGCCCCCCGTAACACCTCTTTATAAAGGCACTGCAGAATTCGGATCATTTCCCTGTTAGGAAGTTAGCGTAGAGAATTTCTGCATCCTTGGGTGTGCTTTGCTCGGGTTTGTTACACTTAACCCACTCCTTGTGGCTCTGCACAGGCAGGCAGAGAAAAGCACACACTAAAAACCCAACCAAAGATTTGGGTTACAATCCTACAAGCTCTTAGGAACTTGCCAAACTTTATTTGTAGACAGTTGTATTTATCCTATTCTGCAAACTAGATTTAGTGCCTAAGAATTCCTAAAAATTGGAATTTTAGGAATTGTATTCCCTAAAATTGACATAATAGATGGTATTGCCAGTCTTTAGTGGGAACAAGAGTTAAACTTAAGCAGGTGAGAGGTTTTTTTTTTCCTAAAATGGTTCCTTTAATAAGGACGTATTGTCTCATTAATTTTTAAGCTGAACTCCCTATAGAAATCAAAGAAGTGTTCTGCTGAAAAATCAGTTGTGCAGTCTGACCCATAGTTACTGCCTGTCAAATGAGACTGAACTGTTCTCTTTGTAAAATTCCCCCCATCACCCTCTTTTTCTAAATTATTTTTTATATGGAAGCAAAGCCTGTGAATCTCTTTGGAACATGCACTGAGGTAAAGCCATCTGATGGCTGAAACAGCTTCATTTCCTTTGGCTGTGGAGGATAAGTTAGCTCCCTGTGAAGCTTTACCTCCTGCAGACATCAGAATAGTATGT